TCAACTGCTCACTATGACATGCACTCACCACCTGGGGGCAGACAGTCAACTGGTCGACCAGTCACTATGATGCACACTGACCACCAGGAGGTAAACTCTCTGACCACTAGGTTAGTTTGCTGCTGGGGTCCAGCTGATTTGGACTGGGCAAGTTGGGCTGGACATGCTCTGGAGCCCTCCTGCGGTCCCTCTCCAGCCTCAATGGTGCACAGGTGGGGTACCTAAGCCTGGCCTGTGCCCTGTCGCAATCTGGGACCCCTCAGGGGGTGTAAGAGAGCTGGTTTCATACCAGTGCTGAATCCGTGCACCAGGCCTCTAGTCAAAGAATAAAAGAGAATGGGCATTTCCATTTAATGATTATAAGTATTAACTAGTTTGATTAATCAATGTCTCTAGGGAGGCAATACATCACTTTTACTTCCTAGCCAACTCTATTGACATGAACAAATAAAATTACTTCAATGTGTTTCACATTGGGAAATCTGTATGATCAATTCCGCATCAGAGGTGGTTGTGAGAAAACAAACAAACAAACAAAAAAAGAAAACACAAGGAATTCGAAGGATTCTCTATTTTTTTAAAAAATAGTAACTAAGGAAATAATTAAATTAAGAAAAAATAATAAAATAATTGGCTCCCATAAGGTTAAAGTTAAGGTAGCAGGCATTTCAAATATATAATCTATAAGGAAAGTTATTTTTACAAAAGGAAAAGAAAACAAAGGAAAAGCAACCAAAGCTTTAGACTAGAAAATGCTGTTTTGAATCCTATTATTACCACTTAATAGTTGTGTAATATTTGGCAAATTTTCTATTTCTTTGAACCTTGCAGAAAAGTAAAAGTGAAATATCTAATATAAAATGTTATCCTGCAAGTTTGGTAAGCTTCCCTTTCTCTTCCCTCTATCTTGATATTTAGTCACTTAGAGACCCAGTGCACAACATTCGTGCACTGGGGTAGGGAGGCTCCTCAGCCTGACCTGTGCCTTCTCACAGTCTGGGAGCCCTCAGGGGATGTCTGACCTAAACCACCAGTCAGACATCCCCCAAGGAGTCCTTAGCGCTGCCGCGGAGGCGAGAGAGGCTCCTGCCACTGCCGCTGTGCTAGCCAGCTGTGAGCCCCGGCTTCTGGCCTAGTAGTGCTGCCCCTGTGGAAGTGCACTGACCACCAGGGGGCAGCTCCTGCGTTGAACGTCTGCCCCCTGGTGGTCAGTGCATGTCACAGTGACCAGTTGTTTTGCCATTCAGTTGATTTGCATATTAAGGTTTATTATATAGGATTCTAGATGAAAATTAAGGGGCATTACAAAATTTGAAGATATCAAAACTTCATTGAAAAGCAGATCTCACACATACATGTTACCTGTGGAAATTTTAGAAAAAAAAAAAAAGGGCTGAGCGAGCTCAGCCAAGGGTTCACAAGCCTGAGTGAGGGCAGTGAAGGATGAAGAAATCACAGAGAATAAGCTGGGTCTAGATCTTCCTGTGCCTGGCTGAGGCTACAGAGAGAGAGATCCAGAGGTAAGCTGAGCCTTTATTTTATAGCCAGAGGTAAACAAGGTAGTGGTCACCATAGTTACTCTGTTCTTGTAAGTTTCACTTGTTTTGGCTGCACTTGCTGCACCTCCCACAGCCCATTAGCTACCTAGGAAGGATCTAGGGAGCTTCATAAGGTCAAGCCCAATTATGCTGACAGGACTGTGCCCTCTAAGCTGGGACTTGTTTGTGGCTTTGCCAATAGGTCAGTCCAAGGCTTAACCCAATAGCCATGCCCTACAAAAAAAACACACAGATCTTGATTTAAAATTTAAAAATATAATTTTAAATCATAACGTTTGGCCAACCCAAACAGATTTGCAAAATGTTTACAGATTTATTTGTGTTTTTTTTTCTTACTGAGCTAAAAAGAACGATTTCATCAATGAAGCGTGGTGTTGGAAAAACAATTTGAAACCGGAAATCATTTTCATTTTTCTATGGAAAAAAAAGGCAACTCATTTACTCTCTATGAACCTCATTCCCTCAGTACCTCATAAAATAATGTATACTACTCAACGAAATAATGTGTAAGAATATAATCTTTGAACTTAAATGTACTACAATCACTTATTGAGGCACTGTGTTAAGATTACTATATAAATATCTCACTTAATTTTTATTATGAACTAGTAAAGTAAATGTTATTATAGTTACTGTACAAGTGAAACATTTGAGGAACAGGATGCTTTATAGTATATATCCGAAGTAACATAGCTAACCAATTTTAGCGGAAGGATTGATCTGATCTTGCTGACTGCAAAACCAGAAGTCTTACCCAAAATGCTATTTTTCCCTGCAACAAAATTTATTATTCTATAATTCAATATGTAGTACCTAGTGATAAATAATACATTATTTTTATCCATAAGTAATATAACTTATTTAATGCTAGGTTTTGTTGAGACCGAATCCACCTGATCTCATTATTTATCCATAACTTATCTGCTCATTGTCCTTTTCAAAATGTGACAGGCAGGTGCTAATGGAAACGAATTGCACAGGCTCTCATATTATAATGCCTTTTTAATCATATGTATTGTTGTTACAAAAGTAAAAAAAAAAACTTTCACAAGGAATTTAACAACTTGATGGATTTTAAAACAGTTGTATTCCTTTATGAAAAGAAAAAAATCTGTTTTTGTTTATTTATATTAATATGCTGAACTACTTAAGGGGAGTGGATATAAAAATTCTAGAAACAATATTAAAATATAAAAGGAACACAAACACTCCACTGGGAGGAATTCACTTACAAAGAGGAACTGTACTTTTTGTAAAGATAATCTCCCGAAGCAAGCACTGTGTTCCAACGGAAAGGACTAAAAGATACTCAGTGGGGAAGACATTCTCCATTTATTTTATTCATACAAAGCCCTTCATAATTTAAAAAAAGACCCTTCTTATCCTATTTTTATTTAACAGAATTCACTCAGTAAGATGAACATTTACTTTGTGTTTGTTTCCACTTAGACATTCAAGGCCAGAGGAAATGCTCTGACTATACATATAAAAACAGGACCCAGAGTTGACAATAATATTTAATTGGTTTTACCTCATTTATAATGATCCAGTGACAGTCAAAAGCAACCAAATTAGTCTCCACAACCTAGAACAGAAAACAAACCAGCTATCAGTCAGTATTAATTATGAAAAATAAACCAAACCAAATGGATGTACTTTGAAAAAATAAAATAAAAAATGAGTAAATAAATAAATTATATGTTAGAAAAGTTGTTATTCAATTGATGATGGAAAAGTGTTACCAAAGAACTGTGGATTAAGCATTGGTGTTTGATGTATACAGGCATTATAGACTTGCTAATTAAAATTTGAAAATACACTTCATCAAAAGCCTGGAAAAACATAGGTTTCAACTAAAAAATATTACGATACTGTATAGTGATTTAACTGAGAGTGGAGTTTGAATTGCACTTCCTATTCCAAATAAACATTGCTGGCTTTCTATTACCCACCTAATAAATACCTAAGTCCTACCCCTCTACAATCTGGCTTAGCATTCTTATCTTCTAACACTTCCCCGTGTATAGCTTGCTCTTGTCTTGATAAAGTAAACTGCTCTATGTTCTGAAAAGCTTTGCACATGTATTCTAAAGAGATCCATTTGTTCAAGTAGCTGAATGTAAAGGCTAGAAGCGATAAACATTATATTAGCATTACGTTACAGGTGGGTAATTCCAGTGGCTTTCAAATTGCTAATAACATGAACAAAAATAAAACATATGTAAAAGCAAACAATGTATAGGTAACAATATTGGCTGACTAACTTTGGGTAAATTGATTCTAAGCGATCCTTGGCTTAGGCCAAAACAGAAAGGGGTGTGTGTGTGTGTGTGTGTGTGTGTGTGTGTGTGTGTGTGTGTGTGTGTAAAGGTAGCTTTTGTATAGAATTTCCATTCTATCTAATCTTATCATATACATTCTAAGACATGTTATTATGATTTAAAGCAGGAGGCACATAGGCATATACAGACAGTCCTCGGGTTACGTCAGACTCCATGTACGTCATTTTGTGGTTACGTCGCCATCTCCCATTTATTTATATAAAAAAAAAAAGTTCTGTCATTTCAATGTATATCAATCACATGTGCTTTGTGTTTTTTAGTATTTATTTACCACAAGTAAAGGTCAAGAATTGTTACCTTTCTTTTAATTTTTTTTTACTGTTTCACTTCATTACTGCTGTGTATCTGCTCCATGTGAGTGACAGGTGCTTATGTAGGTGGGTTCCGACTTAAGGCGAAAATCGTGTTATGTCGCCTTAGGAATGGATCTCCGACGTAACCAGAGGACCTACTGTAATGGGCAAGAGTGTTTTTTTAAGAGATTATTCCGTTATTTTCAGCAATAATACCCAAAGATTGGGTTTTAAATAAAGATGCTTTCTAATAAATAGCAAGGAAATGCTAGAAAGTGAGTGTGCATTGTATTTTGGTGGTCAGTCTTTGTCCTATTGAGAAATGCCTATGGAAAGATGTATTCAAGCATAAGAAATGCAATTGCAAATATATTTCTTATGAAATGTGATGTTTTTTCAAAGTACATAATTATTTTCAGAATGTTTTTTAATTTTGGTGTAAATTTTATGATTTCAAAATACAGCACATTGGCCCCTATAATATTACTGATATGTAAAGATAATATATTATCATATAAGTTAGGATATGTTGCCTATTTGAGTTATATCATTACTATCATTTTTTTGAGATACATGCATGTTCCACTTATATGTGATAGTTAATGTAGAAAGTATGATCCAGGGAAGTTTTTAATTTTAGCTAAAAAAATATAAAATCACTTTACTCCAGTAATTACAGCCTTTCTTCCTAATTTTATGATTATTTTTCTTACACTGTGTCAGTGACAAATAAATCATCAGTAATTTACTAACAATAAACAGTGTTAGAAAATTAGTGGGAATTCCATAAAAACTTAAAGGAATACAAACCAAAGACTCAAACATAAGAAAAATAGTTCTCTGCAGGAAATGAAATCAGGTATAGATAAAGAAAAATGACTAAAGCATGAAGATAGGGAGAATTCAGAGAGAAGAGTAATGAAAGCCAAGATATAGATTGAATGTACTTCAGAAGCCATATAATAGTAGAACGAAGAGATGACTCAATTTAGTTTAAATTGTTTCCATTTAAGTAATCTATACCAGGTAGCCAGATTAAGCAAAATTCAGGCTATGGGAACTCTGCATTAACCTGTAAAACTTAATAAATGAAAAGCTATTTTGTCCAACAGAATTTGTGAAATAAGTAGAAGGTAAGAGTTACAATGGGAACTTACTGGCAATTTGTCTAGTCCATAAAACTTACTCATCTTTCTCACTCTCTTGTTGGAAATGAACTTTCAGGCAAGAGCATGAAAAAGTATAGTGTCACAGGTTCAATCTTGTGTTTCAAATATCGAATCCCAGGTTCCACTCTCTGGACCACCCTCCCTTGCATACTGTGAGCAGGGAAATCAGCTCCTCTCACTCCTGTCTCTGGTTTCACTCATGAGTACTAACATATGAGACATCTGGCAGTACAAATTTGAAACAAGGAAAATTATTAACACATTACTGCATTTAAAAAAATAAACCATTCATCACAATAGTGTGAGTTCATGGAGCAGACACCAATCCCCATTCCCTGACGTGGTATTGCACTAGCCCTGAAATAAACCTCCGTTCTGTGGAGACATTATTACATTTTGGGCCTACTTGTTGGAATAATTTAGCATATCTTAATATAATGCAATTCTTTTTTATTAATCTCAGCTATGCAATTTTTCTAGCCCTAAAAAATTTCAATAAACAAACTCATTAGAGTAATTTTAATGTGTGTGATTTTATAAAGGCATGATTTCAAAACCATGCAATAGTTGTTGGGCGTTTCATACATAGTGAATATACAGGACTTTTTTTTTTTTTTTTGAAAGTTCACTTTTCTTTGGGGAAGGAAACCATATTATAGGGAAAAGGTATATAAAAATGAAAAGTTGGATCTCTCATCCCTTTAATTATATACCCAAATAACATGTATACAAAACTAAAATCCATGTGTTAGTGTGATACCATGTTTTAAAGGACCTTTGAAAACTGTATTGCTAGGTTGTACATAGACAGTTAAGGCTTTCATTCATTATCTAAGGAACTGCCCACTAAAAGAGGAATATACAGTAATGTAGTTACAACTAATGAGACTATCAACCTCCCCAGAATCTGAGCTCCCTTTAGGTGTATGAGCAAAATGAGGGGAGGCGGGGCGGGGGTGGGGGTGGGGGAATCAAATCTTGTCAGGAAGACAAGCCCTGAGAAAGGACAGACCATCTGTCACTGGCAGATACTCTAGAACTTCTGAATCTTTAGAAAAGCCCAACAAGTTATCACCATGTCTTCTGTCATTTGTTCTCAAATCTTTAGATGTGCTAAATAAGACAATCTGAAGCAAAGAAACTGCCAGAGCATGTACCTCACTGGTAATAAATGTGGAACATTTCCTACGAGCACAGAGGACAATTTAATTGACTAAACAATAAAGAGCAACATGCTGTTCTTCACTCAACCTTGTGGCTTAACTAAATTAAGCTTGCTCCCTCTGTAGGATGGACTAAAATAAATGTCACACACTTATACAAGGGGTTCCAGTGCGCTGTGCACCTGCAGCAGCAATGATTGCAGGGGTTTGCGTCCTTTCCCTGCCCATTCCACATCACCACGTGGAAACCTCTGAATGGCATGCCTGGGGGAGGATGCCAGTGGTTATTCTGAAGCAAGTAGCCAGAGAAATAGTAGAGGCTACTCCCTCCCTGTCTCCTCATCTGCAGCAATATTATAGCTTATATCATCAGCATTTCTAAAACTGTGTTCTTTGGGAAACTACTGCTACTAAAATTTATAAACATCCTACAGCCAAGTAGATTCAGAAATGCCAGGATAAATAGATGCTGCATTTTTCGTCACTGCATTTTTCTTCAATATTTTGACAGGTTAATGTTAATCCTATATAATAAAAGGCTAATGTGCAAATTTTCCCCTTGGGAGTTCGACCAACAGGGAATTCAACTGCTCACTATGACATGAGCTGACCACCAGGGGGCAGCACGAAATGAAGAAAGGCCCTAGCCAGCAGCCGGAAGGCCCCCATCAGCCCTGATTGCCAGCCAGGGCTAGGGACCCTACCCGTGCATAAATTTCATGCACCAGGCCTCTAGTATCAAAATATAATTAACACAAAAGCAATATTAATGTGAATTATTATTTTCATGTATTATTTTGGCACATATTTTCAGACTTATGAGCTTGAGCTCTAAGGTCAAACAGCAAATACATCTATTTTCTTAGTTTCATCATTTGTCACTAGGATTACTGAAAGTGTCCACATAATAGAATCATAACAAAGATTAAATGCAATCATGACACACTGTAAATTCTCAATAAATACCAACTCCTTATATTAACTAGTGTGCTTTGCAGAACTCCAGGAGAACATAGTTGGAATGTAGCATATTCCAAATGAATTTAACCATGAAAACCATATTTTCCCATTACAAATCTTTATGTGATTAGTACTTTTTAAGAAATGTAGACTGCATCAATGTTAATTTAGCCATACATTTCTAAAAGATCTAAAATTTTATTAAAACACCATGAGGAGTTTTGTCATTTTAAAATCATGCTTTTACAATAACCCTACAGAGTACAATTTTCTGCAAAACAAAAACAAATGTTGAATTACCATATTTTATGCAAAACCCAAATGCATATGTAATAGTTCTGACCAAATAATGATACTGATTCTTTCCTCTTAATCTTTTTCCTTCCTTTCTAATAAAACATAGCAAGTCAAAACTAAACAAAACTATTGCACTCTTCTCCAATAAAGTATAGAAAGGAATAAATCATGAATAAAGCTTATAATGCATAGATTTTTAGCTAAGGATACATGGATTTACAGTACAAACTCTACATGCAGTTGCCTGAGAGTCATATACACTGAGTGGCCAGATTATTATGACTACCTGAAGTTTGTAGGCAAATTAGCTATAATTTCGTGCTGAAGTTGGTAGAGGGCCAGACCATTATGAATAGGGAAG